CACATCACTGAGTGAATGGGGATCTGACATTGAGTAACCACATCACTGAGTGAATGGGATCTGACTTTGAGTAACCACATCACTGACTGAATGGGACTTGACATTGAGTAACCACATCATGAGTAGATGGGATCTGACATTGAGTAACCACATCACTGAGTGAATGGGACCTGATATTGAGTAACCACATCACTGAGTGAATGGGACCTGACATTGAGTAACCACATCACTGAATGAATGGGATCTGACATTGAGTAACCACATCACTGAGTGGATGGGATCGGACATTGAGTAACCAAATCACTGAGTGAATGGGACCTGATATTGAGTAACCACATCACTGAGCGAATGGAACCTGACATTGAGTAATCACATCACTGAGTGAATGGGACCTGACATTGAGTAACCACAACACTAAGTGAATGGGACCTGACATTGAGTAACCACATCACTGAGTGAATGGGACCTGACAATGAGTAACCACATCACTGAGTGAATGGAACCTGACATTGAGTAACCACATCACTGAGTGAATGGGACAAGACATTGAGTGACCACATGACTGAGTGAATGGGACCTGACATTGAGTAACCACGTCACTGAGTGAATGGGACCTGATATTGAGTAACCACATCACTGAGTGAATGGGATCTGACACTGATGAACAACATCACAGATTGGATGGGATCTGACCTTGAGTAACCACGCCACTGAGTGGATGAGACCTGACATTGAGTAACCACATCACTGAGTGAATGGGACCTGACATTGAGTAACCACATCACTGAGTGAATGGGACCTGATATTGAGTATAAACCACATCACTGAGTGAATGGGACCTGACATTGAGTAACCACATCACTGAGTGAATGGGACCTGACATAGAGTAACCACATCACTGAGTGAATGGAACCTAACATTGAGTAACCACATCACTGAGTGAATGGGACCTGACATTGAGTAACCATATCACTGAGTGAATGGGACCTGACATTGAGTAACCACATCACTGAGTGAATGGGACCTGACATTGAGTAACCACATCACTGAGTGAATGGGACCTGATATTGAGTAACCACATCACTGAGTGAATGGGACCTGATATTGAGTAACAACATCACTGAGTGAATGGGACCTGATATTGAGTAACCACATCACTGAGTGAATGGGACCTGACATTGAGTAACCACATCACTGAGTGAATGGGACAAGACATTGAGTGACCACATCACTGAGTGAATGGGACAAGACACTGAGTAACCACATCACTGAGTGAATGGGACCTGACATTGAGTGACCACATCACTGAGTGGATGGGAGATTACACTGGGTATGTGACCACTCAAAAGCAATTCTGTTTTCAGAATCACCAGTTATACTTGCAGCTAATAAATGAAAAGATATAATAACATAAAATGGCAATAAATAAAGTGTTCTAACCTGATTTTAATACTTCAGTCATAGTTTGCAGGCAATTATCATGGACAGCTGATCTATGTAATTTGATTATCTTGACAGAGTGACTTCTCTCCTCCACAGTTTGCCAATTGTCACAAGTACATGCTCTGAACAACTTGCCATGATTTTTGTATTTCTTGTGTAAATTTTTAAAATAGTCTGTTGAACATTCGTCTGTAGAAAACTGCACATATTCTGAAATGATAATTTGGATAGGTCAGAGATGCGAACATTTGTGTGTAAAACACTAAATATACTGAAAAGATAATTTGGGAGGGTCAAATGTGTGGACATTTGTGTGTAGAAAACTGTAAATATACTTAAATGATAATTTGGGAGGATCAGAGATGCGGACATTTGTGTGTAGAAAACTGTAAATATACTGAAATGATAATTTGGGAGGGTCAGAGGTGTGAACATTTGTGTGTAGAAAACTGTAAATATACTGAAATGATAATTTGGGAGGGTCAGAGATGCAGACATTTGTGTGTAGAAAACTAAATATACTGAAATGATAATTTGGGAGGTTCAGAGGTGTGAACATTTGTGTGTAGAAAACTGTAAATATACTGAAATGATAATTTGGGAGGGTCACAGGTGTGAACATTTGTGTGTGGAAAACTGTAAATATACTGAAATGATAATTTGGGAGGGTCACAGGTATGGACATTTGTGTGTAGAAAACTGTAAATATACTGAAAAGATAATTTGGGAGGGTCAGAGATGCAGACATTTGTGTGTAGAAAACTGTAAATATACTGAAATGATAATTTGGGAGGGTCAGAGGTGTGAACATTTGTGTGTAGAAAACTGTAAATATACTGAAATGATAATTTGGGAGGGTCAGAGATGCAGACATTTGTGTGTAGAAAACTAAATATACTGAAAAGATAATTTGGGAGGGTCAGAGATGCAGACATTTGTGTGTAGAAAACTGTAAATATACTGAAATGATAATTTGGGAGGGTCAGAGGTGTGAACATTTGTGTGTAGAAAACTGTAAATATACTGAAATGATAATTTGGGAGGGTCAGAGATGCAGACATTTGTGTGTAGAAAACTAAATATACTGAAATGATAATTTGGGTGGGTCACAGGTGTGAACATTTGTGTGTAGAAAACTGTAAATATACTGAAATGATAATTTGGGAGGGTCAGAGATGCGGACATTTGTGTGTGGAGAACTGTACATATACTGAAATGATAATTTCGGAGGGTCAGAGATGCGGACATTTGTGTGTGGAGAACTGTAAATATACT